ATCATCTTAAAACATTGTTGGAATATTGAAAGATAGTTGTATTGTTGGTTCGTACTTCTTTAAAAAAATGTTGAATAAGGAGGCTAAAGTTAATTGTATTTTACGTTTCAGTCAATTAACTTGAAATTAGGAAATAAACACACAGACAATTAAATACTAGTAATATGAAGAATCACATATTTCATAACTTCACTGCTAAAAGCGATAAAAGTAGATTATATATATATATCAAACAAACAGGTCAGTAATAGATAAATAACCATATTTAAAAGGATTCACCACAAAAAAGGAATCATTTACTGAATTTTCACTCAGCGTATGCGGACCTCTACAGAGCAGAATGTTTTACGTTAATACATTTATGAAAAAAAAGTATCACCTCCCATTCTACTCTAAACATTAGTTAGACATGATATATCCCAACATCATCTACATAAATAAATGAAAACATTTTTAATGAGCATGAGGTGGTATATTAGTGAATACTGAACAGATTGTATGTTGTCGCAGGACCTCGCTTTAGATAAGATAGAATTATGAACGGAGTATTGCTAATAGTTAAAATATTCACTTAACCAGAGCCGACCATCTTTCACTTACTTCTTTTAATAAGTCCGGTAACTTACAAATACACGAGTTGTGTGAAATATTATTCAGTTTTTCTTCAAAATAAATCATAGCTGGTGGGATAAGGGCTAAGAACAGTTTATGTTTATCTGAATCGGACAGTAGAACGATGACATCATGGATTACCATAATAACTTCTTGTATATGTTATTAGTAGCCTCAGCAGAACTGTTATAAAGTTAAAGGTTATTAGTAGATAGATATTTCTAACACTGATGTTATTCTCTAAAACTGAAGATGTTAACAATGACTTTATTTGTAACAAAAAGTCTAAACAAATGTATATTTGAAGCTAGATCTTACCATCAACTTATGTTAAACGCAAACAGTGGAGCTTGGTCTTCTAGGAAATAATTTGAAAAGATACTGGATAGTAATCGATTCTACGTTGCTCTATGGATATGAAAGTAAAAATATTAGTTGACCCCAAATATTTGATAACAGGTGTCTCCGAAGTATTAATCACCCATGGTGGGATAAGTCAGTAGACAGTGCTGAAATTAAGCATAGAGTACTAGTGAGAAATGAATGATCGACTAATAAGGAACTGAAATTTTGTCAACTGAGGTAGACAGTATTTCTGTTACATATATCTAACCATTGCCCTGATGTGACGAGATGAAAAGTTAAAAGTAGATTCTCTTACTCATTGTGATTTTTGGTTAACTTTACTTCCGTTTTCCATTCAATGTGATAATCACGTAGTGTAATCTTTGCTTTGTTTTCGCGTAAGATAATTTATTCAGTATAACATACGATATTCTTGTAATAAACCAACATAAACTATGTTTAGTATGATATTTAGCGTTGATATTTTATAACTCTAAATATTTTTTTTCAAATATATGATTTCATTCTTATTATTAATCAGTATATAAATGAGTGTATTTTCGACTAGGGTCGTCGTGCTTTGGGGCTAATAAACCTTCATTTGTACCAGTCCTTGTGTTCTTACTTTCGCGCCTTGGGAATAGCGGTGGCTCCTCGTTTTTACAAGCATAAGTAATAAGTGACTCCGACATAACAATCAGCGACGACCAGATATAACAATTGGTGACGCAGTCATAACACGCCCACCTTGAATTTCAGTCCTAGCTGGAGTAGAGTTAGGTTGAAAAATACTAGAAGTGATCAAACCAAGACACGGCGTTAGTCCATGAAACCATCACTTGAGCAGTGTTGATAGGAGCAGACAATTTGGTTGGTCTCCCGGAGATGACCGCGATCGATGGTCAGAGATAACAAATGGGATAGCTTAGAACTGACCGCAGGGGCTCAGGCGGATTTACGCTCTACTCTACTCTGAATCTTTAGTTTCAGTATTCTTTAAAACATCATTCGTTTATTAACTACATTCCCAATGTTTTGTTTTTCTTTCTATTTTTTTATTCTAAAGTTATTTAGACACGATAGCTACTCACCTTTGTAATTTGATCTCCGTATGCTGATGCGGTATGAAACATTGAGCTAACGTTCCTTTGTGTTAGGTTCTATGTTGATCATGAGTGAGACAAATACATTTCGTAAATAATAACGTAGTCGCCTTCATTACGCTGTTGACGATTTATATTTGCATTTGCATTTAGGTATATCTTCAGCTTGCATGCTACGTTTATTAAATAGTATGCATGAGTTTTTATAAGTTTTAAATTGACACAAAAGCAGTGATGATATCTAATAATAGATATAAACATGCCTAATTCACACAGTTCTTTGCTCACTTTGAAATACAAGATTCGACCATGTAACTATCATAGATATTAATTCAATTCTATTGGTTAACTTCTGCTAAACTGAGTTATTACTAAAACCTTACCAGCATTTCTTTTAATCACACCTTTGTTTGCTTTTCTATCTACTTGAAATCTCATTTCATTATTCGTCTGACCTATCAACATCCGAGATACTCTGATTACCACATACGTTCAAGTAAACTGAACTTCAATGCAGGTTGGATCTGTCTAATGCAATTTTAGACTTATTTTGTTACATTACCACTGTGTTATTACAATTCAAATACAATCACTGAGAACTATCATACCAGTGTTATTTCACTTCTAATAGTTCTTAGTGCAAATCCCAGTATTGTTTCAAGTCTACCACAATTACAGTAAGGTCTAATACTGTTGTTGATTGAATGCTATCACTACTTTAGCCAAACGTACAGTCAATTCGATTCGGATTCCATTTATTAGTGTACACGTTAATAGGTTTAATTACTTAAATATACATTTAGTAGTGTTATTCAAATTCTCGTTCAATCTATGTGTGATCGGTCGCTGACCTTAAGAATATGAAGATGACGTTGAACTGCCACACAAGGAGCACTAGGCTGATCTTTCTGGTGCTATCATGGCACATAAGTACAAATTTTGTAAGTAGGGGAACTAATGAGAACTTAGTCACTAGTAGAAAACAGTATTTATTCTACATTCTGGGCATCTATAAATACTCTACTACAGTTGTGGATGATTGTGTAATCCCCCTAGAAACACAATTTACGTTTAACTATCAAAATTTCAATAAAGTGTTGCATAATTATGTCCGAAGAAAAAGAATAAAGAATGTATATTATGCTAGCACACAAGATTATAACGCTATTTGTTACAAAGATGGTCATTAATCTACTCTATATAACTATATAAAATGTATGTGAACGTCTGCAACCGTGAGCCCTGGTGACACGGATGATACACATTCACCCAGTATTTTCTGTGTAGTACATCCAGTCACTTAGACTGTATTACATAATTAACCACGAATAGAGAGTATGACACCTTGTTGAATGGACTAAATCATCTGCAAATATTAGGTTTGAAAAAATGAAGAACATGGGATTAATCATATTGAAAAGTTATTCTTATTTTCACTAACCTTCTACAAATACTTACATTTTGAAACAGTTAGATCGGTTATATTTGTTAATTATGGAAGTTTAATCTCATGATATTGTTAATTTTGTTTAGGAATCAAGTTACCGATTAACGTAAAGCTCAACTAAGATTAGTTTTCTCAAAACCTGACTATTAATCAGCATAAATAAAACATGTTAAAGCCAATGTATTTAGACATAGTTTGTGGCCCATTTCCGCTGTATTATAGACCCTCATCTTTGATTTTTGTACTCTTCTTTATATCACTCGGTACAGGATTTTTGTTCAGTTATAACAGCTTATCCATCATATATACAAGTGAAGGACAGCTTTTAGTTCACTACAAACACTTATTAGTAGGCTATATTGAAATGCCTTAGGTTTTAAAAGTGACAACAGCTTACTTTGAACAGCTGCTACAGTAATTGCAACTAACCTCGCCTGACTTGGTAGCTGTGGCGCGGGGGAGATGCTCGATTGACAAACAAAAAACGCGTAGGTTGTTCAACAGTTCGTTTTGTTTCATTGTATGACAGTAAATTGTGATCTGTGAGATTAGAGGATGCTCGTATGTTACTGACATTTGTTCATAGGCGCCTTAGAAGCATTGCTAGAGTGAGCGATGCTGTCAGATGCAGTGTACTAGTTAAGGATAGTGAATCGATTGTCGAAGTAGTGATTCTTTATTGACTGAGTTGGTTAAGATATATAATAGGTATACCTAACCACCATTTACCTCGATAGGCGATATTCCCTGGTGTAGGAGTAATTTGAAGGAGGGCCAAAACAAGAGGTGGCATCAGTAAACAAAGTCGAACTGAGCTATGTACGTAGGTGTAGGCTGTCTGATTGGGGTCCGCGCGATTATCGAAACCAATGATTGGTGATGTAGTGATATGGTTTAGGATCGGTCGTAATGACACAAGTACATTGGTCCTGTCTTCCCTTACATCTTTAGTTTCAAAATTATTTCATGCTCTCAATTCCGCGAATTTATTCATTTCGAATAGTAATATCTGCTTCTACAACGCTGATATTTTCTCGAAATCCTGAACCAATCTACACTAGACCATTATTGAACGCCAAATTCTTTCCATTACCATTAATACCGTTACTATCTCTACTACTCTTGTATTGTTCTTTATAATTTCATTTTACTGTGATGATGTAGTGTGGTAAATTGAGTTTATCTACATGTGTTCCAGGTTCTACTTTGCATATAAGTGACTTACTGACAACAGTAAGCATAACGTAATTAGTACTTAATGGTAAACTAAACATCATAAAGGCAAACGAATATAATCAGACAGTTTAGAGTATATTATTTGTTACAGTAAGTTTCTCAATAGTTTATATTCGTAGATGAAGGCTCCTGATGATAAGAATTACAACGAAAACTTAAAGTTTGGGGTGAGAACACTGAAATTTCATATTATGGAGGCTCTTAAAGCTACTGTCATAACTATGTCGATCGGTTAGGCAAATATATTACAACTCAATGGTTCTGAAACTGTTTTCTTAAATTAAGGTGAAATTAAAATCTATTAAGAAAATAACTACAGCTGATAAAGCAAATAAGTGGGTTGTACTGTCAAAAGTTTCTGCTTAAATGAGGTATGGATAATGAAAAATATATCATGTAGGACACAGAATACATCTTACATATGGGTAATATTAAATGGAAGATAAATAAAATAAGATATTACAAGAATACTGACTGAGAATTTTAAATCTGGAAATAAAGGCACTTGCATAAAATATAAACAATCAACTTAACGCACATTAAAATATATAAAAGTTAACTCTTGGAAGTACAAAATAAATGCAACAGTGGGAATAACTGTGAAAACGAGGAACTAGTGGATCTAATGAAGTGATATATGATACAACGACTTCCTTTGCATATTGCACTAACCAATATACAATTTTTAAAAAATGCAATTATGGACTAACTTATCTTTTATCACAAGAAAAAATTGTCGTTTAGTCACTATCCCATGACCAGTTGGAGCTTTCAGGAAAGTTTCCGTAAATATATGAGAATTTGTTTAGTTCACAGTTTTCTTGTTTAGAATAATTAGTTAAAAAAGTGATAGGATTTACAGATTGTACAATATGTGTCCAGTTAGCCAATACAACTGCCGTTGGGGAAAGGTATTGTCCCAGGGTTTGAGCGATTGCAGTTGGTAGAAAATAATTTGGTTTTTGAGAATTGAATAATGCAGTTGTTTCGTCCGAACTATTACAAGCTTGAGGGTGATGAAACCATATCCCAGATGTCACATGTTTAGTTTGATCCGGTCTACCAGCTAAAACCAACAATGTTGTTAATCTATTTTTATTTGTAGAATTTAAGCTTCCATTATAGTTTGAATCATTTACGGATGAGGAAAGTGGATGATCGTTTGATTTAACACCATCAGGGTTCTGAACGTAAGCTTCTAAAGGTAATAATAACTTGTTTTCATCCAATCTATTCAAAAGGTGTGTAGCACAAACAAGACCACGAAAACCAAGAATTTTAGGACATAGATTAAACGTTAGCTCAATGTCTTCAGAAGGATGTTGTCTAATGGGATTTAACTCATCGATATCTGACGTCTGAACCGGTTTCCATCGAAGCCATTGGCAGGAGAACGTGTCAAAACAATAGTGTGTAGCCTCTAAATCACGAGAGCAAGTCCCCATAGGAAACAAATAAGTCTTATCTAAAACAGAAATGTGTTAATAAAACGTGATACTTTTAGAGCTACTTATAGCATATCATAGATAAAAAATCGGAGGAAACCAGTAGGATTGGGTAGTCCTTCTAAACCTCAGTGGCTAGAATCATACAGAGAGATGATTGTATGTCCCTGTTTCATCAGAGATCTCTTTTTTGAGCTTTCAGAATGCTAACAAACTTCAATGGTATGTTTCTTCAACAGACAATTTGAGTAAAGTGACTGACTGTAAAGTACGGATTATTGGCTTGAAACAGGTGTGATAAAAGTCCAATATTTGGATGGTGAAAATGGGTATAACAAATTCCTAATCTGAGCGAAAATTAGTTTGCCCCATGAAAATCGATTTTTCTTCTACATGTTTTACACAATCTGTAACAGACATAACAAAAGCTAATATCCGATATAAGACTGGTAGAAGTATAACCTGATATTTATCACATCCATAAAAGACTATATTGAAGATCAGTGCATTATTAAAAGTAATGGAACATTCCATTTGGTAAACCTTTCCAAAAAGAACTGTCAGATCCTTGACCAATAATCTAGTCTCTGCCTTTGGTGAGAGGTTTAGGGATTTTGGACTGTAGAAGATGGAGTCGCATCTGAATATCCTCTTTTTGAAATAGATTGGTAATAACTGGTCGAGGTGGGGGAAGTATGGTCAGACGATTACCTGATGTTTAAAGTTGCCCTGCATATTGTTAAGCAGGAAACCGTCCATCTCATATTTTTTATCAAACATAAAGCCATTTGTAACCAGTGATTCAGATGGACTGTAACAGGTACCAGAAGTTACCACACCCAACCAATGAGTTAAACCTGACAGGATTTTATGATAAGATTTTAAGGTTTTCGAGTAAGAACCCATTCACTAACTTTTCCCTAAATAAATAATAAATGGTTTCAGTACTATGCGGCATATATAGTCAGTTTACGATTTACCAGTAAAATAAGTAATTTATGTAGCATGTGAGTATATGGAAATTATTATCTGATCTCATGTGATCTACTCAGTAGAAGCTTTCAAAACTTGAAATGAACGTGCATGATCATGCAAGTATCACACAACAGCAAAACTAATGTTGAAGGTCGATAACAACATAACAGAAAGGAAGACCAACATCCTTCGGGTGTTTCTGAATGTATTTCTTAGTAGAGAGAAAAATTTTATTTATCAATATTTTTAAAACATACTGAAAATAGGTGAGGGGAATCTAGACAAACTATCCCAAATGAACGGAAATAATACTTAATAATAAACAAATAACTTACCACTAAAGTTACCTTGCAGAGAGCAACTGATAGCCAGCAAACGGTACATTCTGATGAGGAAAGGTGGATTAGGTAGATTCTCTACAAATAATGCATCTCCACCAGGTCGCGGACGAAATCGAAAGAACTGTGACCGAAGTGCTGAAGTTTGATGAAGCCCGTGACGTGGGTGTCTGGAGTTATTAGACGAAACTGTCTCAATATTAGCGTATACCCAGTCGTCAGGTGGGATAGAATTTAACTGTTCGATTGGTGTAAATAACATCATTCCATTCTGGTTCCTAGACAAACAATAAGGTTCCATCCCATACCAGTTCCAAGTGCTCAGATCAAATCGAAATGCACACAACCATGCGACCTCTTGTATACAAGAAAGATAATACATGTAAAGACCACTGGACAACGTAGTTACACCGATTCGTCTAGATCGGAAGCAGAAAGAATTGATAGTACCATTTCTGTTGTTCGTGGGAGAAAGCAGCAAACGAGGGATGAGTTTTGCACGACAAGAAGCCAAACACCAAGCAAAGCCATTTAATGTTGCATTGTTTGGATCAAAACACATAACAAACAAATTACTTTGATAAGAACCGGATCCGTACGTTACTGGACAGAAGTAAATGCGATGATCTATGTCACCAACACCAGAGGAGTCCAGATCAAGTTCCCGCAGACAATTATCTGGTATGGGATAATTATGATAAGCTCCATTGTGAAGATTGAAAAGCCAAAATTCTAATGAGTTGCTAGAACGACTTGGAGCTAACCCAAGTAAACACAGAGATTCGGCTCTAGGCTTTAATAACAAAAGCTGGAGTTGAGAAGCTAACGGAGACTTGCAAAAAATCCCCCCATTTGGAATACTTTTAAAAAATACTTCCATATCTGCACATGTCAGCTTTCCAAACCACTTCAACTCAGAATGTTGGTTGCGCCAATAATCTAATAACTTTTCTTGACCATCTAGTGAAAGAAGGCCGGGACGAACGCATTGCAAAAAGCATTGAACAGTATTTTCTGTATAAAACTCAGTTGGTTTCAATATCTGTAACCAGCTAAGAACAATATTTAAAATTATGTCTTCGTCTGGTATGCATATGACACTTTTCGACAAATAGCTTATAGCCAAATTAATAAGAAGATGCTGTAAGTTTGAATCTGAAAGACACGGTCTGAGGATAAAATGAGGGTATTTTATGGTGTATTCAGAAAAAAGTTTGTTAACACAACCATTTTCACAGTGGGATACTTTCGCAAACTCTTTTAATATTATTGAGAATATATCGCAGCTATGTGATTCATGAAGTTGAATGGATTTAGGTTGAAATAACTCGTTCATGATATGAGATATTCTCTGCATACAAGTTTGAATAAGTTTGGGCATTTGAAAGTAATCTGCTGCATCAGCCAAATCCAAAGCTTCTAAAATTTTCAGCGTTTCTGGACAAGAGTTATTTAATCCACTGCTATGGTTGTTTAAAGCATCATCCCGAATAGTTAATTCAGGTCGCAGAAACTGAACAACCATAGCTAACTGGTGAGCAGTGAAATTAGGAAAACTGAACTGGCTGGTTTTGCTTTCAGTCATCCCGCTCTCAAAAGCAGCATAAAAATACAGACTAGATTTAGTTAATACATCACGAGGTACCTGAAATGAACAGAAAACTAATTATTGGATGACCAATGGGATGGAACTAATATAAAGATTGCAACTAACTTAAAAGAATAGTCTGTTTATGTACAATATTCGACAGCTCCTAGTTGAACCGGCACTAAACTTAATCTCAATCATCTAACCCCAGAAGCAACTATTAAACTGTGACTTAACGTTTACAGTTAGTAAAACAGGAATCAGTTCGGTGAAATCTAGCTACTCATCATTTGCTTATAAGTAAAGCTATATGAGTAGACGTTTGCTACGTATGAGAACGTACACTGCTTTTCACAGATAAATACACCGTTTAAATTAAGTTATAGACAATTTTAAAAAACACGAAATATTTTATGCAAAAATTCCACTCTAATAAAACTTTCTGACTCTAACGTTAGAAACGTTTTGTAACACTTGGTAAACAGTCCAATAACTCGCATGAAAGTTTGGAAAGATTTCATACCTAGTGTAAGGATGATATTTGGTGGTATATATTACTTCTAATATCGCTCAACGCATCAACAACCTTAACATGAAATAACGTATCTTCTAGGGAGTGTTAGGATAGTATTAGATTAATTTTAAATTCTACTTTCAAGTATTAGAGTGCTTGAAAAATGAGTTGCAATACCACTAAATCTACCGTGGTCTACTATATAGGGTGGAAACGTGGAGAACTACGAAAGCCATCACCCACAAGATACAAGTGTTTATTAACAGTTGTCTACGCAAAACACTTCAGGTCCGTTGGCTAGACACTATCAGCAACAACCTACTGTGGGAGAGGCAAAACCAGATTTCAGTCGAGGAAAAAATCAGGAAGAACCGCTGGAAGTGGATAGGATACACAATGAAGAAAGCACCCAACTGCGTCACAAGACAAGTTCTCACTTGGAATTCTCAAGGCCAAAGGACAAGAGGAAAACCAAAGAACACATTACGCCGAGAAATGGAAACAGACATAGGAAGAATGAACAAAAATCGCATAAACCTAGAAAGTAAGGCCCAGGATAGAGTGGGTTGGAGAATGCTGTCTATGCTCCATTGGGAGTAACAAGCGCAAGTAAGTACAGTGGTCCAGAGTAGTGATTAGATGATAGTTGGTTTTTGACAGACTGTATGAGTCATATTCAAGTACAACTCAACTAGAACTTAGAAATAAATGAGCTACATTCTTACCCACAATCCATAAAATTAGGAATGACGTTAGTCTGCTCAACGAAAGAACTCCATTTTATCACAATGATAATTGAAAGATATTTATCACCAGTATGTTTGAGGCAAAACGAAATTCGATAACCAGCAATAGACTGGACTACCTCTTGATCAGCCATCACCTGACTTCGTCCGCAAATCACTTAACCCGGTCTCATCCGGATGATATTTGTAGTGTTTCAACTCATCTTAATGCCTGGATGATTGTTGGTCCATAAATAGCTGTCTGATTTTTAATTAAAAAAGATTTACAGGGTTTATTCAAACAGCCATATAATTGAGTGAGTACATTTACATCAATGGCTACATACATCGACATTGAACGCTTACTTAAAAGTGCGTTTACGTATAATCAGTTGGGGTATTAACCGATTAGTCTTTGAAATTGGCAAACAATCCTTCAGGGCATTTTATGATAGCACAAAAAGCTAGGCGAAAGTCAAGGATTAAAAGAAGCAAACAGATGGGATACAGAATGATTCTAGGTAATAGATCAAAGACAGTATCAACATCATAATAAATAAATTTTCGGCCATAAAACACCAACAAAAACGGTCACCGACTATTTCATAAGGATGGCGATTATGGCTTTGCTTATAATGCTTGTAAATTAAGGCAATATCGAGGCGTACGCACAGTATGAACATATGCCAATAAGAGACTGATCAATTTCAGTCCTGGAACATCAATGGGAAGATTCAAGTAAAACAATATCAAATGAATTAACTATTCATATCCAAATACTACGGGGTTACTGAAATTTATTCGTGAAAATTGAGAAAAATAGACAACTTACTAGAAAACTTTGATTTTCCGCTATTAAGGTTATCATGCCACTTGCCATTTTTCAACTCAATATCAATTGATATTGATATGACACAATTATAAGTGTGGTATGCAACGCGACCAGATGGCTACAAACGCCTTGAGTAAATCTTCCAATGGGATTTGAGTATCTGAGGTCTTGTTTGAAGCCTGAAAGTATGTTGGGAAATTGTACAGAGTAGCGTATGAAAAGTAATCTGGTCAAGAAAAAAATAGCAGTGAACGGTCGACTCAGTAGGTACACATGATGCACGTGTTTATGTGGTGTGTGAATTGATTAATGATTCTTTTGTACTTGTTGAATGCTCGATTTCGAATTCCAAATACAATACATTCGTTTGTGATTGTGTCTTACTTCTCAATTCAATTGCGTTATTTCTGGGACTCTTAGTTCGTACTATAATTCAAATATTTTCAAACATTATACTGGCGTCGCGATGGAGCCTGTGATGGAAAAGTTAGATATTTATTCAACTTCTGAAGCTTTTGAGCATTATTTTGAAAGTTTCGGAACCTGTGCTATAACCAAGGAAGATGCTGAGGATGTTAATATTGTGGCACATTTCCTCACACTCATCGGAAAAGAAGCATACAGCTTATTAAGAACTCTGGCTATACCAGAAAAGCCTATCTCGCTTCCTTATACAACTCTCAAGGAACTGCTGCTAGATTATGTTAACTACACAAATTTCGAATGCGGTAAAGGAGGGAGACCTCGTAAAATGATTCATGAGGATATAAAAATTCCATTACATTACTACGTCATTCCGACCCAGTGCATACTCAAGGCTATGCAGATAATTCATTGAGGAGTTGCAATGCATTTCACGAAGATGAGCACAAGTTTGGTCAGTGTTTGTCCTGTGGAAAATTCCACTCTTTTAATTCATGTAAATTTCGTAATTCTAAGCGCTTTAAATGTGGTGATATTGGACATATTCAGTCAGTCTGTAATACTATTGTTCATCTTACTGTAACTAGTATTAAGTCTTGTAATTCTGATTCTACCGAGTCGAGTATTCATAATGATCATTTATCTTTATCGACGATTTTAAAAGACAGTGCAGAGTCATATAGCAGTTCGGAGTTAAATGAACCTCAGAATCCTTGTGAGACAACGGTTTCTAATCAAACAAATTGTCAGAATTCTCATGTTATTGTACCAGGTATGGCTTTTCCTAATGATTCACATATTTCTGATGAAATTCCTTGCAAATCTGAAGAAAATATGTTGAGTGAACATAATTATGGTTGAAAACCTGATGTCGTTTTGATAGATGACTTTCCTAATGGTCCATTACTCTGCAATGACATTCTTCATAAATTTCATGAAAATATTTCAGAAGAATCAAATCCTGATGTCATATCATATATTACCTACCCTCACAATGCATTTGCTCCCTGTGAAAAACTTGTTCAATGCGAAAAACGAGTACTAAATGAGTTCGAGTTTGATTACAATTCGGATGATTTCATATCAAATGTTATTTATCCTCATCATGAAGTCAATTCTAATGTATACTCTGGTCAATATAAATTTTAAATGAAGCCACATTATTCATAACTTGGGGATATAAAGATCAAACATTATTTCGTAGGGGGGCATAATGTTAAAAAACCTATGGTTCCAATTCTAGATATTAATGATTTCAGTGCAAAACCAACATGTTACGATTTCGTTTGTTAATTCCAATACTAATGGGCACATCCTAGATACTACAAAGTTTTTATCCAATACAATGAAGACGTACAACCGATTACAAACACTTATAGTCCTATTTAAGCTGCGGCGGATGTGGTGTGTGAATTAACTAATGATTCTTTTGTACTTGTTGAATGCTTGATTTCGAATTCCAAATACAATACATTCGTTTGTGATTATGTCTTACTTCTTAATTCAATTGCGTTAATTCTGGGACTCTTATAAGAACTAATTAGTTCGTACAATAATTAAAATATTTTTAAACATTATAGTTTATTAATCAAAGTAATTTTTTTAAAAATTACCAGTATTGCGAAAGTGAGATTAAAATGATCTGACAATCGAAACTGCAGGTCAGTAACCTAGGCTTCTTAACATGTTGCACAAACAACTTGTGAGTGAAATTGCGTATATGTCAAAGAGTGCGCGTTTATTCATACCCTGTCCAAGAGCATAAAAGAACGACTTTAAGTGGTTTTAAACAGAGCTTTAAGGAAAAAAGACCTTTGCCTAATTTGATGACGCAAATTCAATTATGTGTGTTCTTGATTAACCTTATGAAGAGCGCCTCCAATAAACTTAACTTTTACCCATTAAATTATAGGCGTCATAGAAGTATTCTTCTAATGTCTAACAATATCCTTAACACTTCTGGACATCCCCTTAAGCACCAACTTGAGCTTAGTCTCAATAAAAACCTAAGGTGTTATACCCGGAAATCGGAGATACAACATAGCAGGACGGACTGTAGACAACTTCTATTCCTTAAGAGTTGTCAAACGCTGGAATTCTCTGCCAACTGAACTAGTTCAAGCGACTTCCCAGGAGTCCTTTAAGAGTAAACTTGACCTATTCTTAAGGACTAAGGATAACATCTTATTATGATTTACTAATTTCTTTTCCTTTTTCTCTTCTATTATCGTTAATATACCTATGTTCCTGCCTGGTGATCCACTGCTACTAGGCACGGAAGCCCGTCAAGCAAAACCTTCTTCTATTCCATCCACAACCATTTGAACCACATTCAAAATTTTCAGATGTGTGTTGATGACATAAGGTCTAGGATCTGTTTCAATCATTTTCTTCCTTCTGAGGGTGCCTCATATTTTGTTGGATGAGTCAGGTAAAAATGCCAGCACTACTTCTTCGACAGGGAGGTTAAAATAATTGGTGGTGAGGTGTGGAAACGATGCGCCACAAGTACTTTGTCCGTTCACGGTTTTTCTAATTGCAAGTAATGTCCTCTGAGATTTTGTGACCAAGTAGAAATAAAAGAGAGAATATATCACATGCAAAACCACTTCTTCGTATCCCGCGAATCAGAATCAGATCACCTATTAATCTGCCGTTGAACAGAGTTGAGGGGTCTGGCTTCCCAAGCCGCTCTTTGTATAGTTAACTTAAAAGTTCTGGAATTACATGAGTATCTGCACTCTGTACTTTTTCTATGATATCCGATTCTCCTTTTGGTTACGAGCTTGAAAACTGGACGCAGTTTTTAAGTTTGGATCTCAATAAGGTCGTTTATGCTGTAGTGAACTCATTAGTATCCAACTTGGTAAGTGCCCGTCGTAAAGATCATAGGGTTCTGAACCCCTGATCTACGGTCGCACGTCAATGAGCTATGTTCACAAGATTGTGACTAACTGCTAGCCCGAGGTCACTGTGGGGTTGAACAACAATTACCAACAAGGTCCAACAATAGTTGTTCATGTTCTAAGCAAAAATGGGCTACCGTCTATAGGTCTGTAAGATCCTCTATGAAGCTATTGAGTATGAAAACCTCTCTGTGTACACACTGTGATGATTTATTCTTCTTGAAACGCCCAGATATACATTTTGTTGATCTTTTGATTCTATTTGAGCAGATGCTTTTTATATTTTTCCTCAGTCCTTTTTCTTATGCCTTCACTGAATTCTTATTTGTTCTCTGAACTATATTTATGTTATTTTAGTTTATATTTAATTATAACAGCTGACACGTTGTTTCACTTCTCCTTCTATCACACTACTCGAATTGACCGGAATCGTACATTTTTGCCTGTGAATTGAAGCACTGGTTCAGATTTATAAACGCCTAGTATTGTGATAAAATTAAATATTATTTTTCAAACAATCTGTACGTAGTCTACCCAGGAAAAATATAATGACATTTTCGTGTCGACAGGAATATTTGTTTCACTCAGTAGTCCACTTATATGTTAATTTATTTATTCAATGTAATTCAAATTTTACTACTGATTGAAAAATCACTGCTTAAATAACCGGGTGGTAATATTTGTTAGGCTAATAATGTACATTTGAATTTATAATGAAATTTAGAACCGTCATTTACCCGCCACTCTGTTTCGGTTTAGACTGGGTGATAACACGTATCTAAACTGACCTACACAGTTACTACTCATTCTGAACTTATTTAGTTTGGAAGCTACACAAGCTACTCAAAGAAATACAAATGCAGAACATTACCTCCATCGAAAATGCCAATCAATCAAATCAAGCAGTCAAGCTCTCACTAACCTTAGTGGAGCTAGAGAACTTCGTACATCGAACCATAGAGTCTCAGGCCATAATAACGTAACTACAGAAATGATCAAGGTCGTTGAAATAAAGCTAAGTACAATGCTATCACAACTAGTGAATAACTTATGGGAGAACTCAGATGCAATAATATCCTAATGGTTAGTTGTAGACGTCCTCAAATTTTACAGAAACAAAGTATTACGCAATGATCCCAACAACTATCAAACCATATTCTCAATTGATCCAACAAGAAAGACATTTACTGGAGCTTTCTGTGAATGTCTGAAACAAACAACCAAGAAAACCTGTGGTGTTTGCTCTCGATTTCGACAGAAATAAGTAGTGTGTCATCAATCGGAAGTGAAATTTCTGGAGGCAGAAGGTTAATAAGATCGAAGAAAAGAGAACAAGAGCAGAAAATCATTGGTGTGGAAACAAAGAAACAGTGAAGTCTGAGACAATTGACTGAAATTTTACAGATCAATTATTTACTGTATGGTTCTAAGATTTCACTAACATGCTCTGTAATTTTGTGTCCAAACACACTTGGTTGTCCTCACTTGTGTACCCGTTCACTGCATTTGATGCGATAGGAAAGACATTTATTGGGATGATCTGTGAATGTCTGAGACAGTCAATCAAGAAAATCTTCGACTAACCCGATTCGATTTAGAAAACATCTGTTTACTATACATGGGATGACGATGGTAAGGCACATAACATAATATGCCCTGAACATCAATCAACAACAAATAATTATCTTCATTGACGTTGCTAAAGATTTTGGCAATCTACACAAATCCGACTCTAGAAACACTGCACATTTCATCGAAACCACTGTTAAACTTCCGAATCAGCCTAAGGGTCACCAAAAAGACTTATATCTATACTGTACCATCCACAAAGTAAGATAAGGAAATAGATAAAGACAACCACGCGTTTTAAAACTCTCAGTCGCATAATAGACCGAACAACTACGTACATTAAACTAATTGATAACAACAACACAATCCGGACATTGCTGCACACTGTGTATGCAGATGACATATGTTCCACCACAATATCTGATTAAACCACAAAAACCCTCACTTCGCCTCCAAAACCACCTAACTAGACTTGGAATGCAAATTCGCCGTGACAAAACCAAAGTCATGTTGATCAATAAACGGAGTAGTGAACTCGAAATAGCAAAAGTCAATCGAGTTCTCGTGATAAAAGTAACTCACTACAGGAGCCTCCGCTAGGAAGGGTTTACACTTTCGATAAGTAGCGGTTTAAATCGTAGGAGTGATCGGCTGACGAGCGATTGTAGGACAGAAGAATCGGCTGAACAGGAAAGCGATCGTTGATCGTCGAGTTGCCAACGAAGGTCTTTTTCGGAGAACAGTACCAGGGGCGGTGTGCTGTATTTGTTGCTCGAGTCGGTATACAACACCAGAGCGGCTTGTATTCAGAATCTGAAGACTGCGTTTGTAGAGATGCGGAACAGGAACGCTGTAGACGTAGGATGGAACCACGTTGAGCCGAGGAACCAGAAGCGACCATAACGACCAATTTCGAGACCAAGTGTATGCCAAACTTTCGAAACCAAAATAACGACTGGGTGCATTGACAAGAGCGTTGGTGGCCAATCGAGCTTTCACTAAAGTTTTCTAAAGTCGATGGTACCAAACGGGAATGGTCTTAGGCGTGTGTTCAGGATTCAACAAAATAAAAAAAGAAGAATGTAGCAACATGTAGTATAGGAATAGTCCTACACCGTATCGGTTGTTAACTGAGCGGCCAGTCACTGAAGCGTACGGGCAACCGTAATTGTCGACCGGAACGTGAGACGGTAGTCTCGTTCGCGTCTAGTGAGCCTGCGTGGTCTGCTGATCTGGACGTGAGACTGTTGTCTCGTCCGTAGATAGTGCAGATGACGCGTGCTGTTGACCAGGACGTGCAAACGAAGTCTCAGGTGTATCTAGCGTGGGACCTGAAGATGACTTAAGGATCCCGCTAATAGGTTTGATAGATCTAGCATTGAGTTTCAGGTTATCAGATAGGGCACTGCTGACAATCTCGATGCGGCCATGTCGACCAACCTTGAAGGTTTTTTCGTGACGAGCGATCACGTGAAAAGGGCCTCAGTAAGGCTGTTGCAAAAGTTTGCGTACCGAGTCTACTCGTATGAAAACATCTGAACAGGTGGATAACTCTCGAGGGAGAGCGACCTGTCGATGTTGTATTTGAGTTGACACCGGAGGCAGCGTTCACACGAATGCAGACAGTCGTTGTTCGTGGTCTGATTTACCGAATTCATGTCTGCTCCATGGTGTGAAGAATTCCCCAGGCAGACGCAATGTCGTGCCGTATGCACGTTCAGCGGCGGGACACTAGATATCTGCCTTCAAGCTCGTTTTGATGCCTAACAGGATGAGCGGTGTGGTTCCGTACTAACTGCTGTTTTCGTGTGCTGGAAGAGCACTTTTAAGTTGGCGGTGAAACCTTTCAACTACACCATTTGAAGCTGGGTGGTAGGCGATAGTGCGTATGCGTTCCCTAGCAAGCAGCCGGGTAAGTGAGGAGAATAGTGCGGACTCAAATTGTTGTCCTCGGTCAGTCATGATAGTCGAGGGACAACCATATAGAGCTATCCATCTTTCTACGAAGCGGTGAGCGACTGCCTCTGCCGTAATAGACGTGATGGGAATGGCTTCGGGCCATCTTGTAAAATGGTCAATACACGTCAGTATGTTATCATACCCATGCGATAGTGGCAGTGGTTGTACAATGTCTAAGTGAACGTGATCGAAGCGAGCATCAGGCGTGGCGAATGTACCAAGTGAGGCGGCTTCGTGCCTGTGCACTTTTGATCGTTGGCATTGTAAGCATTGCTTCGCCCACATACGAACATCTTTATT